TGTATTTTATTATACTGTTCGTATAATTTTTACCTTATTATGAAGCTCCAGAAGGTTTAATAATTGATCTTGTTGTACGACGGTATCCCTAATAAATTCCACTTGTGCTGTATCGTAACCATCCTTTTCTCCACCAGAAAGAACTCTAAATCTTCTACCACCGACCGTGCTGAGAATACTGCAACCATCTTTGAGCAATACTCGATCTCGAATGTCTAAAATAGTTCCATATTCCGCATATCTAAAAGAATGGATTAAAATATTAATACTTTTAGATATATATAAAAGAAAAGGTATTATTAATTATATCCTTGTAGGTAAATAACTTCTCTTATTTCTGCTATTGTAGCGAGTTTTAGTGATACTGTGCAATATATTTAAACTTTTTCATGTTTTATGATATGTGATAGATTCTGATAGGTTTTTTTCCGTAAATTACGTAATTAAACATGCTGCAGTTGCGTGCTTTTAAAAGAACTATGCTACAAAAAATTCAAATTTAAAAAAGTTAAAAACTATAAACGAGTCAAACTACAAAAATTCAAAAAATTCAAATTATAAAAAATTCAAACTTTAAAACTTTAAACTAGTCTTGTTGGACTAATTTGGAGAGCAGTCTGAAAATATCATTGATATAATGGCGCACTGAATAATAAATTTCATGACTGTATATGCAGAAGAAGTGTTAGTATATCTATATATATTTGCATAAACACATTCTGTAATATTTTACTTTTTTAACAATATATAATTTTGTAAACAAATACTGTGTATTTTTATACAAAAGTATTTAAAAATTTATTTTTGTGAGGGCCTTATTACTACCTCCCTAATTCCTTTTGTTATGTAGTGTAGCCACATTCTTATAAATTTCATAAATTTTATAAATTCCTAAGAAATAAATATATTTCATCATTTTGAATCCATTTTGAAGAACACTTTAACGAATTAATAAAACGTAGTTAATTAAAGCATTAAGTTAAAAAAAGGGGCCATTATACTATCTTCTTCTCTAATATTAATATATGATATATGTAAACTTCATGTAATCATGCATCGTACATTATAAATATACATATAAATTGTAAAACAAAAGTTTAGTTTCTTCTATTCACATTTTAATTAATCGTTATTTTACAAACAATATGTTATTAGTGTTTGAGTATCTATTTCGTAACTAATCGATTAATATCACAAATTAAGATTGATTAGAAGAGATAAATAGGAAGCTAAAAGTTCAAATATTTAAAAATTACATTAATGCATTTCAATATATTAATTTAAATTGTGATTATGTATAAATAAATTTACTTAAATTTACTTAAAAACTTAAAATTATTCTGAAATAAAATCTGTATTACCTCTTTGTGCCTGTTGCTTCTTTGTTGAGACACGCAGCAATTCCAAACTGGCGCATTCCGCTGTCCACACATCTTCTGACCATCAGCCTATATCTAGGCTCGTAGACAAACAAGGGACAGGCAATGCAGGGAAATGCTGTCGTGCAAATGAAAACGGCAATCTGTTCGCTATTCAAAAGTCCCAGTCCTTGGACCAGTTCGAGCTGATGACTCACAGCTCTGGAAGTATATTCCGTAGGCGCCACTGTTTTAAGCGCTTTCTCTACGAAATCCGTTACAGTTTTTTGGCTACTGGCTAGATACTGAAAACAAAAAAGTAATTAGTTAATAAAATAATTTAAATAATCATGACAATAGTATAATCAATATAATCATATCGTTCATAATATCGATTTTAAAAAAGCAAATAAATTTTGTAGAACGAGTATTTTGGATAGGGATTTGTATGCTTAAGAATAGTACATATATATGGATATATAAAACTATTTAAGATAAAAAATAAGAAAAGAAAAGAGTTATTGTTATATTATTTTATATGGTAAGTATCGTTATGTAATAAGGATATTCGCTTATTTTTTCCAGCATTAGAATACTTTTAATTTTTTTAAAAATTATTTTTCGTAAATGTTACGAATTTAAGTATTAATAATAATATTGTAACATCCCAAAAAGCAATATGTCATATATAATAATATTATTAGTTATATCCAATAGCAAAGAGAATGTCGCAAGAAGAATATTTCTAAAGAATCAAATGCAATCATCGATATATTACGGAGATAAAATAAAAAAAAAACAAAGAGTATAGCGCGCCGTAAGATCATCGTTGACGTCGTCGTCCTCATCGTCATTAAATATAATACAGACGATTGGTAATGACGCCACGAATGCGGAAGCTCGTGACGAACCGCCTTGACGACCGCAAACAATAATCATTTCAATCTGCAGCATCGTCGTTAACCGCTAGAAAGCATCATGTCTCATTTATGGACAGGTGTTGTTACGGAATATTTCGCGTCAATACATTTCCCTGCCAAGATCTTTGAGATCAAGAGCTCACGAATAATGAACAAATTTTAAGAATTCTTTGGAGAAAAATGTAGAATGCATTAGTTATATAAATATAAATTATGACTGTAATAACGAAGAAAGAAAAGGCTGACTAATAGCTTTGAATGAAGGCAACTAACACTATTCTATGCTGTAAATAAAAAGTTTTAATAATTTAAAGACAATTCCATTTTATTGAATTATAATGGAATTTATAGAAAAAAAATAGAAGGAAAAATAGGTTTTTTTTTTAAAAATGCATTGATTTATTAATTCTATTCAATGATTTTAAAAATAAAATTGTTTTAAATTAAAATTCTTCAATTTAAAATTCTTTTAAATCTTAAATTCTTCATGTTTTTATTAAAATTAATTCTTTGTTGTTTAAATTGTTACAACTTTTCTATAACTATAGCTAATTTAAAAAACAGGATTATAAAAATGTAATAATTTATTATATTAATACGTAACTGAATCAAACTTTTGCGTGATAACAATACTATTCAAAGTATCTATTCAAAATTAACATTTATGTAGAAGTCCTCTTACGTCAGCTAAAGATGTAACACACAAAGGACAAGCCGAAGAGTAATCCAGGCAACGGTCCAGACACATCCAGCAATAGGTGTGACCACAAGGTGTCGTGACGGGTTTCCAAAGCAGGCGGCAACATAAGATGCAATCCAATTCTCCAACAGTGCCGCCGGAAAGAGTTGGCAAGAGAATTTCGGCGGGTCTCGATTCGATTCCTACAAATAGCATCGTCTTAAGATATTTTTACGAATATAAAAGAGAAGCGACAATACTTACTTTTTAATTTTTCTATATCCTGATACACACGATCTAAACTTGCTTGTAGCTTTGTGTTGACTTGCGGTACGATGGAGGATCTAATTCTTCTATTTATTGTCTGTAAAACGAAAAGAATAAATTAAGTAAGTAAGCCTTGAATAATTGTGTAAAAACTAAATAGATAGTTAAAGATATATCAATAAACAGAATAAAACTTAAAAAATTAAATAAGTAAAAAAATATAATAAATGAATAAAAAAGACAATTAGTACAATATTTATTTTACTGTTTACTGTTAATAAATAATGATTATGCTGTCGGTGATACTGTATTTTTTATTCCTAATGATACTGTTAACAATAATCATACTCGTTGAAATTTAATAATAGCTTATTACACTTTATTGTCTTTTGTATCGAATGATATATAATTTTATTCTTTTTTCCAAGTATAAAAAATATCTAACAAGTCACAAAATCAGATATTTTTTTTAAAAAAAGCACCTGTATAAATTCTTCTTCGCCGCTGCTGTTGTCCTCGCTATCGGACCTGTTCAGAGTAGCGCGTCGACTGTGATTGGAATTCATTAGTTGATGACGATTTCTCGTGCGTAACGCACTCTTTGTTAAACTGTACGGCGTACGTGATGACAGAAAATTTTGCCGATGGACTTTAGGCGACAGCACTCTATGCAGAATCTATAGCACACAATCACAAATTTGATAATATAAGTATGTATCAATCGAATAAATTTGTATACTAAATGTAAAACGATTAGTAATTATCAGAGTAAATTAATTGCTTTACAAAGCAGATTCTTTTAATTATAAGTACTAAAAATGTTTTACAAGATAAAACCATATATAATTAAATCTTATTGTTAAAAATAAGTTTACTTTTAATTTATGTAATTTTAGTATTACTTTATAATACAATACGACTTAAAGTACTAATTATTTAACTTTTTATTAGATTAGAACTTATATATAGATAACTTCTGAGTTTTTTACATTCAAATAGACGTAGAGTTTTATAATAAATATGTATAAAAAATAAATATATAAAAATATTAATATACGTTAAAACAATTTAAAAATATCTTTTTTTGTTAAAAAGAAATTTAGCAAGGTGTAAAATTCTTTCTGAATTGATGTTATAAGATATTGTCATTATTATGAGTAAAGAATTATTATTTTAACACAAAGAATCAATATTAAGAATTAATAAACTAACATATAAGAATTTCAAATGAAACTTTGCTAGCAATGAACAAATTCCACTTGTTTCTTTAATAGCACGTATTTCTTTCTTGACGTGTCTTATATGAGATGCTTCTAATTGCAAGATTGACGAATATTCACTGGTCGCTAAATCGATACGATTAACGCATGAAATAACACAGTTGAGTAATCCCAGACATTTTCGGACGATGAAAGTAAAAGTGCGCCTTCCATAATACGGACCTAACCGACGGATTCAGCGGGAAAGAATGATTCCCTGGTCTCTTACATAAGTGGCGGTGCAGCTTGCATCAATGATTCTGCCATCGGGTGCTCGCTTATGTAATCGCCGTACGCTCGAAATGCAACACGATCTGCTTTTTAAATTATTTAGCGTCAAAATTTGACGTGACCAGTCGTATTGAATTCTTTAATATTCATCGATTGTTACTATACGTAATTGCGTTTCAGGCCTCGCAAATATTCGCGTGTGACGCAATATTGCGAAACTTAACGGCGATCGAGCAGCTTCAATGTCAAATATTAATTGAAATACGACATCTCATGCCTTATAGCTTGGACATAAGCTTCACAATTGGTATTTCGGTTGTGATCGTTTTAACAGTATTAAACAATTTCAAGGTAAGATATCATTCAAATCTTTACGTAAGAAAATCTCCGTAGTTTGCATAACAGAGAATGCAACAAGATGCTGCGTTACATGCATCTCAAGATGAGAATCAGAGAAATTGACAGATGAATGAATAAGAGTTTTCTTAAAAGATGTGAGAATAAGAAATTTTACTTAAAAGATTCGACGCAGAAGCAAAGGATTTTACATTATGTATGTACGAGAAGGTAGAGAACGCAGCGGCGAGCGCGGGGGCCGTGCGTCACACGGCAGAAGATCGATATATCGACGCTGTCGCGAGCCGCGTGAAACAACACGTGGAAACGGTACATTTGTTCGCGAGAGTAGCGTAGTATCCGTTTCGCTCGCAAATATGGTTATTGTTGCTCCTGGCGTACAGGTCACTCACCTGACAACCATCGTACCGAGTCATTAAGGCTGCGTGGCCGGCAGTAGTCGTGCCGGAAACGCCGTGGCGCGCATTTCTTTTGTGTTAGTGATGCTCTCCGGATAGAGATGGATGCATTTGATTCCCCGCGGCGCATTCTGTCAGTTGCACGATAGCGATTGCTCCGCAAGGAATGTGGATACTCTTACTTATGATCAGACTACGGTTTGTCTTATTTTTTCGTTCAAGAACTTGTTCTATGAGTTACAGGAATATTACGAGAACTAGATGAAATTGTGCAACTCGAAGTGAGCATAGTCGGAAATTTTCCGGTAATAAAAAATTATTGAGTGTCTCACTCTCTTGATTCACTTCAACTTAATAATTTTTTTTTTTTATTATCAGGAAAACTTCAACTGTTTGCGCGCAATTCTATTTATTAGAAAATAATCGCTGTAGATAGTCAATTAATTTTAAACCTTATAGTTTAAAAGTTATTCAAACTTATGTAATAACTCGTGTTGTACAATTGGAACAAATATATTTCATTAATTTTCAATAAAACAATAATATTTGATAATAGAATATTTGTATAGCTTTTACAATAAAAAGCAACGTGGGAAAACATACTTTGATTAATTCATGGCGTACAGCTTGTGGATTTTTATCAATGGCCACGCTAATGCAGAGAGCATAGAGCGCTTCTTCGTGTCTTCCAAGCGCTGACAAAGCTATTCCTCTTCTATAGTGCCCCTAAATATAAAACAAAAATATATTATATTAATATTAAATTACAAAAAAATACTATATTTTATAAGAAAAATATAAATTTTAATTTTAAGTAATTTAATGCTATAATTCAATAATAATTTTTATACAATAGTAATGAGATTAAAATAAAATTTGTATTACTATATGCACAATATGTTATTAATATTAGCATATATATATGCTGTTATGTATTTTTTTAATAATACATATATAAAATTGATAAATTAAGATTAAAATAAAGATAATAAATGTTTGAATGTTAGATTTTATTTTAATTAGAACACTTTGCCAAATTTGTTAGATAGAAAAATTGTTAAATAGAAATGTCTGCATTTCGATTTAAAGAGTAGACACATCTTGTTGTCTACACATGTATCGAGTATATGTATAAGGTGGTTTTGTATTTCCTCACCTTGCCCCAGTCTGGCCGCAATCTAACTGCATGATCAGCGTCCGTGAGAGCAGCTAAAGGTCTATTCAACAGGAGCAAGACGTGAGCCCTGTTGCTAAGGTGAAGTGGGCTATTCGGTGCTGAAACATGAGAATACAAGTTCGTAAAATGTCTATCGAACGGTGAACGAGTTCTAACTTGAAAAGCTTTAAGATTCTGTAAATCAAAAATCAGAATAATTTTTTTTCTATTTTAAAATATTTTAAAAGCAGAGTAGATGTGATCAATATCGGCAAATGCTGTTTCATGACTAATGACTGGTATTATGATTCACGCATTCCACATGAAACAATAGAGATGTAAAGCAGATATTTTACAAATAAACTAATAATTGCAAATATTTAATGACGCACAATGGCGTATTTCAATATCTTTTATTTATAAATTTACATATTTATGATGCAATACATGTATGACATTTAAACGCATCAAACGAGTATTCGAAAGAGCATTGCATCATTGATTCATACCTAGGTACATATTTTGCATAAGAATGCACTTATATTGTCGTGCATAAATTCCGAATAGTTTAAGAGGTTTTTTTTTTACAATTATATAATTAAATTTAATTTCGCAGAAATTTATCTCGTAAAAAAGCGCCGTGTATTTGTGGCAAAGCACATTTTATAGAAACGACCGCGAACGATGTCATCGGCCGATGCAGGCGGCGGTGGCGGCGGCGGCGGCGGCGGCACGTCCTGGCATTGTGAGCAATGTCATTGCCTTCATAGCTAGAGTCCCTTACTGACGAAGAAAAATTCCAACGTTCACGTCAGTGTCGCAAATATTAAAAGTAGCTTATCGAGATTTTTTATGTACTCCATAGTAAAATAAATTTAAAAAAAATGCGTTTTATGCTCAAATAAACTATCACGTAATTTCAGATTTTAACATTTTGAAAATATTAATTATCTAAATAATATTTTAATTATTTTAAATTAATATAACATGTAAATTGTATTTACAAAATGTTATATAATTATCTTAAAAATATTTTGCAAAGAACAGACAATTTATTTTTATAAAGTTCTACTCAATAAATAACAATTATTAAAGCAATTACTATAACCTGTAACGCGATGACGATTTGTATAATCGCTTTATTTTATCTATGCATGAACATCTGTCTTTAAAATAAATAAGAAAAAGAATATGTATTAAATACTCATTAGTACAGTTGTAATGATATACTTAGATTTAAATTATGCTGATTTGCAAAATCATTTGCAGAAAAAACTTCTAATATTTTTATATACTGAACAAATATAAAAAGCAATCTCTGTATATAAGTCGGCTTGTGTAACTTATCTTTTAATGTTGCGAAACTTGAATTTAAAAATCCGATTTGAAAAAAATCTAATTATTGCGCGAATATTGTTATATAAGTCTTTTATCTTAAACTTGAAAAATCTTGTTATTGTTAAACTCTATACACGTGTAATTCCTTTAAATTTATTAGTAACATGTTCGCAATTTATTTTGCTAGTACATTATTATTAAAAATTAGCGTATAACTTTTTATAGTTAAACTTATATTAAATATAATTTCCGTTTTAGAAAAATAAAGTATTTTAAAATTTAATTATTACATTTATTTATAATCGTAAAAATTAATATTACACATTATCTTTTAAAACAAAATAGAAACAATAAATTTTAGAGAATATTAAATTTTTGTCATAAATCCTTCTTAATTGAAAAAATTAATTCGTATAAAATAATATACATATTAATTTCGAAATTTATACAAAAGTCAAAATTACTTTAATTTATGCTTCTGCACTGAAAGATTGGTTGCTGCAACAATTTAGATAATAAAATATGGCATAGCATTTTTAATCAGCTGCAGCAATCAGGTTTTGGTTGTAGCAGCAAATTTTTAGTTGCGTTAACCTATTCGCAATGTCATTTTTGATAGACTAACGCAACTAAAAATTTGCTGCTACAACCAAAAACTGATTACTGCAGTCGATTAAAAATGCCATATTTTACTATCTGAATTGTTGCAGCAACCAATCTTTACTTTCAGTGTGGAGTTATTATTGATATAGTCATGTATAATTATCGAGAAATCAAGTCATATTTCCAATTGCATCAATTATATAAATATTTATGCGTGCAAAGGAATGTACTTTTCCGCGTCAATGTTAAGCTATAAGAAATACAACGGGATATTGCTGAACAAGTTCATTCATTAGCGTGATCATTCTTTGAATACATTGTAAAAAATGCTCTTCCTGTCTGTTCGATCGAATGCCAAGGTCCGCCTCGAATGATCGATCGTTTGCTCACCGCAGGCAATCGACCCGATCATTAGAACGCGTGCTTCCTAACGATCTCTCATTTAGACTAATCTAAATCAGCATTACTGCATAAATCCTAACCTATTGTATGACAAACATTTATTAAATAAGTTGACTTGCTTCTTTCAAAATGTCGTCAGATTCAAATTTGTATATCCTTTAAGTATTTGAACTTTAGATATTCAAAAACACAACACAAAGAAACCAAACCTACGCAAATATTGTTGTCTATATCTTAAGAAATTAATGAAATTTTAAAGTATTATCGAATTACAATTTACTTAAATTTATTAGTAAAAAAGTATAGATTCCTTTTTAAATAAAAGTCTAAAGTTGACAATAATAATTATGTAATCATTTTTATTTCAGATTACAATTCAAACTAACTTATCAAACACAATTTCTCAGCATATCTCAAATTGCAAAATAAAAATTCAAAAATATCTATACTATTGTATTTAGATCTAACTTTTTAAATTTGACATTTACTATAAAAACAGAAATTAATCAAATTTGCAATTATAAAACCGAGGCTATCAAATTATTATTCTGAATCTAAAAGATTAAACAGTTTTGTTGTATTTATGAGATTTCTAAATTGTACGATGATGCACTGACGCATACAGAAAGGTTCGATGCCGCGTGCTCAACCAGGCGCGACAGACGGCTGCTGACCTTCGTTGGAAAGAAGACGAACGGTTTGGAACGAAAGAAAAAGAGAGAAGAGAGAGAAGAGTGGGACTGTCAATGCCGAGTTCGAGAACCGAGTTAACGGAGCGTCATACGGAGAATATACTCTTCTAAAGCGCTCACGTGAAAATCGGAGCAATAGCTGTTGCTGCACATGTTGTCGAGCTTGTGCATTCTTAGCATTCCTGAGAATTGGAATCATGACAGATAGCGTGTCAAGGGATTAAGAATGTACGGATTGTTTAGTCTTCACGGTTTGTAAGTGTGATAAATTAGTGAATTTCTTATTAAAGGAACTTCTCTTTCAGTATGTGAAAATTTGACAGGAAATCATGAATCTCTCTCTCTCTCTCTCTCTCTCTCTCTCTCTCTCTCTCTCTCTCTTCGTGATCATTCCACTTTTACAGATTATTAAAGTGTGATTTAATTCGACTTTAAAGTAAAGTGCATGTAAAATGAATCAAATATATTAAATATATGTTGAAAAAATGAGTACTAATTTAATTAACGAATATGAATTTATTGGCCTACATAATACTTTATATTTTATATAAAAATGACGAAACTGAATAAAATTCTCCTAAATCTCTATAATTCATATCTTTAAGAATATATAACTATATACAATTATTTTGTAATTTATAAAAAGTTATTTATACTTTGATAAAGAATTCTGTTTTTCCTTTACATAATTAAAAAAAATAGTTTTTTATTTTCAAGATATCATCGACATATTCCCTACTTTTTCAGATAATAAATTCGTTTAAAAAAATCAATTATTTTTAGTCTATTAAATCCTCGTATGTGTGGCAGCCTAATTTACAAATGTGGAGATATTGCGGTCTTCCTCCGAGTTGCATGCGGAGCGCAATGTAACTGCATCCGGCCGGCCGCTGGCCAACCACGAAGGGAGAAGCGACAGGCGGGAAGGGAAAGAATACAGCATAAACGGTCGCATCGCGAACGCGTCGCGCGGACTGAGCCGCGCCGGTGCAGCTGCAACGGTCGACGCATCGTCGTTGCAGCGGAGTAGACGTCACCCATGCCGACGCGGCACGGTGCAAACAGCCGCGCGTTACGTAAAGGTCGGTCACCCGGCTCGGCGGCGCGTACTCTATCGTGCCGCCGCCGCCGGCACCGCCGCCGGCACCGCCATCGCGCGCGGTCGCCACCGCCGTTGTTGCTGGCATCGCATCGCTGATGCTGCTTGCCACGTGCAATTATCGTCTTCGTTTACGGAGTTTACGGAGACGGAAAAGTCTCGAGGTTCTCTCGATTTAGGATGTCACAAAATAACCATGGCAATAATGAAATTTAAGTGTCTCGTGAATTATTATCATTGTTGGAAATGAGAGAGTTCTCGATTAAATGAAAGAATAATTAAAATAATAATAAGATTTTAATCATTGCTTGTACTACGAAAATATTTTTATTTATGAAAATAGGAAAATTAATCTTTATATCCTCTCTCTTATAACACAATTGCTACGATTGCTGTAAAATATTTTTTTATAATTATAGAAATAAAATTTATTGGGATAAAAAGAATTATTCATCTTTTTGCATGGAATTAAAAAAGTTGTTACTTTTTATTAACATACATCATAGAACTAGATATTTTTATTGAATTATAATATAATTATATTTCAGCATATATATAGATATCTGCTTTATAAAATTATCATAAAATTACTTGTAAAAATATAAATATTTAAAGTATATGAGAAAACTATTGATATAATGCAAAATTACAGAATATATTTATATTTAAATGTATATTTGGATAGAACTTTCAATCATATATTCTGCATTGCATTGATCTACGATGAAGAATACAATAACATTGTTTTAATATTATAACTTTAAGAAAAAGAATTTTGATACACTTTTTATATATATCAATAGTTCAATTATTGTATCATACAAAAGAGAAAAGAAGATTTTTATGTATTTAGATATAAATAGCATAGTGTGCAGGGTACGACAATATATTACGTCATAAAAGTTATTATTTTATAAAATTCTAAAAAAGTGTCTGTTAAAATAACAAAATATTTGTAAAACAATGGTAACAAATCTTATTATTT